TCCCTTTCCCTTTTCTGCAGTCGGCCGCCACCCTCGCATTACTGCATGATTTTTATGTGACCGTAAATATCTTGTCTGAATTTATGTGCAACTCACAAGTCACGACGTTCGGTTGTGTCATTTAGTGCTGTCGTATTCACTCATACGAGCTTGTACGAGCACTTACATACATATATATGTAGGTATGAGCACATACTCATGGAATTGTCCACATTAATCAAAGCAAATGCGCGTGCTAGCCATTGCTGCCGGATCCTCTGCCATTTGCTTGCGTGGCGTGCGGCAATGTTGCGTTTGGGGGCAAGATGCGAATATGTCTGTGCTCGCAAGCGCGCAATAGTCATGTTCACTGCCATGTTATGTGATAATTCTGGTATTTTTCAAGTGTTGAAATATTCATTACTTATAAGCGCAAACATTTATGTATGATATATGTATATATGTATACATATATTTTATACACTACATCTACTTGTATATTGGTGCAGGTGCGCTCACAGGCATATGTCTTTCGGCATAAAGTTTTTATGGATGCTGGCGCTCAAAAGCGCTTTAAAATCTTTAAATGAAAAAAGGAAATGTGAATGTAAACGTGCGCATAGCTAAATGCATTTATGCTATGCTTATGTACACACATGCATACATGCATGCTCAAGTATATATGTACTCACACAGACATATACATATATATTTTAAAAGATTTATCACATATAAATATGYGCAGCGCATTGAGGCAGGAAGCACGGAAATCCAATGCGCCACTCGAGTGCCCACAAAGCTATGCGCTCAACTCCCAACCAGAAGTATCTACATAAGTGCATATTTGAATGTGACATGCCGCACCAYACATACATACATACGTATATACTACATACATACATAAAAGTTATGCTCTATATATGCATGTGTGAGTGTGWGCCTTTAGGCTGTCTGGCGCTTAACAAAAGTTCATTCTTGACATTTTCACTTAGTTATGTAAAACTGTAAGTATGCATGAACTTATACCTGCGTTTCCGCTTGTGTATGTTTAAATACATATGCACACATTTACCTACTTCACATGATACTTAAGCGTACATATAGTTATAACTGTATATACAATAAGATGGATAATCCTCAAAATAAGGGGGAGCGACTTATTCATTTGTTTTGATTGCATTTTCAAAGTCTGTTATATTACTTTATGTACATATACATTTGTTTTTATTATATAAAGAAGAAGAAATTATWTTAGACAAATTTTGTGCGTGATTTTCGTTTACAATTCTGTTTAATTTTTGCGCTTAAATGAAGAGAGATATATTGAGAATTCATTGACCTCGTGTAAGCTTAAATTACACAAGTACATAAATATATTTTCTACGAATTTAATTTAGGTTTATTGATTTTTGATTTTTCTGTAGAGAAATTGTATATACAAATATCTGAATATTTGTTTTTATAAAAGAAGAAACTTAATAATTTAATAAAAGTTATTATTAAACATCTTTGGTGTGTAAATATCGTTTGGTTAGTCGTTCTTATACACGAAGGCATGTGCATCTAATAAAATGAAAAGTGTATATGAGGCTAAATTTTACTTGAGAGGCATCTCTACTTAGAGAAATTTATAGAAACGTACGTATATTTAAAATTAAAATTATCCTGCCACACAACCCAGACGTGCTGGAAACCATTCTATAACGGCTTGAGAACAACTCCTTAGCGGCCGATGTATTACCCTCTGAGATGRCGGCGAGGCGCTGGGAAGACGCATGTTCCAGCTGCTAAGCATGATATTGGTAAGAAGAATACATGCCCACTGATTGGCATAATAACGTACTATGCCCTATCTACTAACTAGAATAAGAGCCCGCAGTCTGAGCACTTTAATAAGTAAACTAACTGGACTACATTAGTGTGGTTTTAAACCAAATAAATCGACTATAAACCCGATTTTCATAATAATCAAATCAGGGAGAAGACCCATGACACCCTTTACCTTTCTGTCGATTTCAAAGCCGCTTTCGACTGCGCTGATAGGAGCTGCCAATTCGCTGTCATATCTTTATTTGGTAACCGTGCGAAATTCAGAATTAAGTTGAGCACAACCATCAGCTTTATCAAAATCGGGAAAGACCTCTTTGAGCGGATCACTAGAAGACGAAATTTTTGACATGGTAATCCTTTTGGGGGCAAATAAACAATCGTTGCGTTCGCGACTATGCATGAACGTCCATGTTTACAGGTGCAGAGGCACGGACAATGACAACATCTGATGAGTCGATGTTAAGAGTTTTGGAGAGAAAGGTTCTGAGAAAGATTTATGGTCCTTTGAGCATTGGCCATGGCGAATACCACATTGAATGAAACTATGAGCTCTATGAGATATACGACGACATTTACACAGTTCAGGGAATTAAAAAACMGCAGCTACGCTGGCTGAGTCATGTGGTCCGAAAGGATGAAAACACTCTAGCTCTGAAAGTATTCGACGCAGTAGCGKGAGAAGCTGAGGAAGAGGAAGACTACTCCACTACGTTGGAAAGCTTTGCTTGGAATCTCCACTTGGCGCCACTTTGCAAAATGAAGAAACGATTTGCGCTCTGTTGTTAACTCGCTAGAACCGCGTAATCGGTTTCTAAGCCAATAAAGAAGAAGAATCCCTCTATTTCATATTATTTAATATAATGCTGGAAAACTASTCTAAAAGTACAATGTTGCGGAGGTATACATATATGGAAAATGTTGGCCTTACCAACAGATTTCAGCCTAGAAAAGAAACAAAATAAGCTGATCTTGTAGTGAACGGGGGCAAGATAAAGTACATACAGCCCACGCACAAAGATTCCTCGTGTGAACTACGTAATTGTTGACAGCTATAAATTTCAAAAAGTTAAAGACTTTAAATATCTGGGAACCAGCATAATTTCACCACAAATCTAAGCCTGAAGTTCAAGCTCGCAATAGCTCGGGCCAACAGTTACTACTTTGCGATCGCTAGGCGATTGAAAATCAGATAGCTCTCAACGAACAAAAATTACAATCTATAAGTCTCTCATTCAAGATGAGAAAGCGTTTCGATAGAACTGTTCTCCGCAATGAGTTTGGAGCCATTCATGTCTGCATTGATTATCGAAGAAAATAGGAAGGTAAAGTGTATGAGCTATATGGCAACATGGATATAGTTAAGCGTAAAAAAATCAACGAATTCGTTGATTAGGTCATGTCGTTCGCATGGATGCTGATTCGAGACCRATATGTGGACAACGAAAGCAAGGGTGCCGAGAACTAAGTGAATTGCGACCTATCTGCTGCGATATATATATCCCCGCAAAGTATATGCACAAATGGCGAAGACCTACGCACGGTTGCAATGTTAAAGAAGAAGAACCATTGACACTAAGAATTCTCCGATTCAGTGAAAGCTCAGCACGGTTTTGATGATTTTTATTCCGTTCTTATGCTAAGCATTACAATTATAGTACAAAAATAGGGCGGATTTTCTTCCTTAGTCAAATAATGAATGCCAACACTCGGCCTTACATTACCAATGTTTGGCAATGTACAATCTACCAGGAAACGCTTAAATGAAAAGTCCTAAACCATGCGCTAAATTCACCAGATATTGCASCGTCCGATTATTATTTGCTCTCTTCGAAGGAGCATGATCTGGCTCGGAAGCAGTTTCACTCACAAGACGATATCAAAGATTTTCGCGATTCTTGAATAGCATCACAATTTGTACAGTTTTACCGCAATAATACTCGAACATTGCCAAAAAAATTGAAAAAAGAAAAAATTAGAAAAAAACTCGAAATCTTTTGTTTCAAATTTCGAAATTGGGGCTATTTAAAAACATGATTATTAGTTACTAAAGATTAAAAATAAGGACTTTCCCCYTAAATTCGATTTTTTACAACAATTTTTGATCAGAAATTTTTAAAATAAATAAAATACTTTCTTTTCGAAAAGCTCTCTTTGTTCCCATAAAGCAATTTTCATATTGGTTTTTGATTTCTTGCGAGGAAATGTAGAGTAATTACGGCAAACAAATAACGGCTTAAGGTTTGCTATGGAAAACACTCAAAATTATGATTTATAGTATATTTACGATTAACATTTGCGAAAGAAGTTCAAGAATAGAGTTAATAMTATATTCGTTTTATGCCCAGACCCGTCATGAGTGCCTTATAGTAAAACCACTTAAAATGTATAATATATTGCCAAATTTTCGAATATTTCTTGCCACAAAGATCAGCGAACATTTGTAACAATTAGTCGAGTAAATTATATGCTAATTGTATGAAGTGCTTCAAGTGAAACTTCGACGTTGTTAAGTTGCAATTCGAACCGACTGTGTTCATTTCAAATTAAATATTCCACGCAACTTCGCCCATTCAAACGCACACTTTGCGTGGAAATCGCCGCCAAAGCAATACTTAAATTTAATATCAGCACGAATTTGTGTACTTATCGTCGCTATGACACCTTGGCCGGTMATGATAGTGCGCAGCAATGCCACACGCAATCTGCCATTTCCCTTAATCCTGCGCATTTACGTGCGCACACAGACACCAGGTTGTGGAAGCCAGCCGGAATGGCAACCAGCCGGTACACGGTTAGCCATTAATGGCCATTCAGATCTACAGTAGCACAGCGTGTAAACGGCTTGCCACCTGACAACACAACGCATCACGCACCATCGACTAACTAATGCTAATGGATGTTGAGCGCACTGGCGTTGGGCAAACTTTTCGCCGAAGAAAAAACGCCAGAAAAACTTTACGAAATACTTATAAAAAATGACGAGCGCCATAAAAGAAATGAAAGGAGTAACGATGATATTTTTAATATTGCGCTCGAATATGCGTGGACTTACTGGTGTATCCATATATATTACATACATATATGCTTATATGTATGGGTACATATAAATGTATATAATCGTAAATACCAATACATTTTCTCGAATGGGCGAAAAAACATTAAATTGAATCTGAAAATTGTTTTAAACTTACCGTGCGCATCTTTGTTGGTTAACGAGCCGCCAGTCAGGCCACCAATGCCACCGCTGCCGCCGCCAACTCCGGCTGCATGCAACATCAGACTGTTGGACGAATGCAAGCGTGCTGCCACAAATGTCGCGCGCAACGTCACCAATGYGAACGCAATAAAAATTTTCCACATTGTTAACATTATCATTACACTCTGATGACAGTTTTTTCCACTGGCCACAGTAATGAATCCAGCCACAACAACAACAGGCGCGTTGAGCTCAAGACCAATAGGCTGTCGGTTGGCGTGACAGGGAGTGCGATAAAGCGCGTTGCAGTCAGCTCCAGCTAACGTAGACTCACTCAATTTTATCGAGACGTAAGCGTAGTTTTGCTTYCACTCTACAAGATAATTATTCTTTATGGCATTCGGTAGTTTTGTTGCTAATCTTTTGAATTTCTTTTTCTATTTCGAAGATCTTAGTTGTCTTTTAAGTTCTGTAACAAAAAAAAAATGAAAACACGAGTTTTTCGTTTAGTTCAGTTAATTATAGATATAATTAAATTTCATAATTAGTTTTAAATAGTTGAAAAATAACTCTAAGRACTCCTTCTCAATTAAACGGTAACACTTTGCAAAAAAAACCTATTCTCAACAAYGAGTTTCCTAACGAATTCGCTGTCATTTGGTTTCAACAAGACGGCGCCACTTCCCACACATCGCAACAATCAGTGGTTTTATTGAGAGCRTACTTCGGTGAGCAGATAATTCCACGTTTATAGCGGACAATCCCGCTTCGAATCAGGCCTTGGAGCAAAACAGCACGCGTGTCRTTCACCAGTTACCAGACGAAATGTTAGAACAAGTCATCGAAAATTTTACTCAACGGATGGACCGTTTGACGTAACCGTGGTCAAAATTTGACAGAGATAACCTCAAAAAAATAAATGCCAAAGATTGCTTTTTCGATTGATAATAAACATTCCCTATTAAATTTATGTGTTTTTKTCTTTAAACAAGTAGARAACTTCGAAATGGATGACCCTTTAGAAGCAGTGGATTGACTTCACTCAGTAGTAGCCCTTACAGGCCGAGAAATGCAAAAGTTTGACATTTATTTTTAATTTATTTCTTCATTATATTTAACAAGCACATATCCACAAAGTAAAACACACACAAAATAGTTGTCGTGATCACGCTCATGGTTAAAAGTGTCCCTGGGAAAAGTGGAATATTTTGAGAATCGGTACACCATTAATCGTTCTATATTTCACGCTCTCTGCAGTTACATGACTCAATGTTTCTTATTCTGTGATTACTATCGAGCGCTAGAACGCGCAATACCAACTGAAACATCGTTACTGCAAGCTCCGACACTGAATACGCATCGAGCAACGAGCATAATACTTTTATAGCTCCGTGTGAAAGTTATCCTCCACAACTATTAATRGGAAACAATTAGAGAGCACGCATTATAGAATTTACCTTATTCAAACTCGTTCCCCGTATTATTCTCTCCTAGAGAAACAAAAATTTCTTTATATCAAAAACAATAATAAATTAGTACATATTTAGGGGTCAAACCAGCACCATTTACTAAAATGAAAAAAAAATAGCTCTAGGCGATGGAAAATTTTTTACTCAAATTCATAATCAAGATGCTTCAAGTACCCCACAGACCTCTTAGCACATCAGGCGCAAATTTTTCTTCCAGATTTGTTGAGTTATAATCAGGCCGAAAACGATTTTGGGGAATAGCACTGAATGTGCAATGATTTGTTATTATTTTATAATCATATGCAGTGAAATGAATTGCAATTGAATTAAAGAAGATGGTTTGAGACAAAAAACCGGTTTAGGGAACGTTGTTCGATAATTGCGATTGGGAGAATACCTATTCCAAAAGGAAAACGTAAAGATCATAAAATGATTCTAATTGTCCGTAAAATGAAGTCGGTGGAGTTAGCCATAACTCTAAAAAAGTCGAAGGAATGTGTTGAAAATATTATTTGAGTGTACGAAAACTCTCTACAATGCACTGCGTGGGAMAAGCACACAACGGACAAAATAACTMTCACTATAGSAGAGTGMGTGATTACTTCACAACCACAGTTGAAGTATTTAGGAGTAATATTGRACTCCAAACTGRAATTCAATCAGCACTTGGCAAACATAGCAAACAAGATTTATAATGCCTTATCAAGAATGACGGCAAACAGARGCTGTGTGCRCTCCAACGASCGACGACTTCTAATCGTAAAAGCGATGAGCTCAGTTACACTATATGCAGCTTTAGTATGGATACAGTCACAAAACATAAAAACGTATGCCAAACCAATATAAATATGTGGTGGATAGACTCACAGCAATAAGAGTAACAAAWGCTTTCCGAASTATTTCCAGCGAAGCAGCTGAAGTACTAGCTAGCATGCCGCCCATAGACAATCAGTGAGAAGAGTTTACGAGATTATCCATTGTCCTATGTTTCTAAACATAAGTGAAAAGTTACAAACAGCACTAGGTTGTTAGTTAGTTTGACGGTGGAAGTTCGATTGCACTTACATGCGTGTCAGTCCTCTGAGAAGTGGAAAGCTGTTCGCGAAGCGGCATATTGTCCTTCACGTCATGTCATGTTAAGATAGTTACAGCAGAATAGGCGTCAGTCCGTCCATGTTATAGAGGAGACGTAAAATGTCTTATCACTCCATATCTGGTGGYTCCGTGGGAGAGGCTTGAGTTGGGARTAGGTTAGGTTTAGCGGATTAAAGYTTCGCACTCCGGCTTTCGTGTGCTTCCTCCTGCTTGCACACAATCGACCGATTTACCGTGTCTTTAGTCAACTAAAGCATTTGCAGAATGGATTTCTACGGAACTGACCGGAAAAATATCTTCATGACTAAGGTTTTTGGAAACCAAACTTCAATCGCACTACAAAACTGATAAGGAAAAGTTGAAAAARCTCTCACATATTTAATCGATTTCACAAAAATCGATTATGTTAACTGAATAAGTCGTAGTAGTTTGGCCACACGAATTCGGTTAGAATATTATTCTATATAAATATTTCCTACTGGTCAGTATATAGGAAGTATAATTATTTTCTATGTAAACTATAATGGACTTCACATATATTACACAAAATATTACTTTCAAGAASTCGATTAGYTTGTATGACAGCTGTATGCTATACTGATTGTATCTGAACTATTTTTCGTAGATTTAATTTTTACATTTGACAAAACCGCATACAAAATTTTGTAATCATATCTGCTCAAATGAATGAGCTTTAAAAACAGGCAATTAATTGAGGTCGTTCAGTTTTTACGACAACTATACATATGTATTCTATAGTACACACATGTATATAGTAAGGATATCTCCAAATTGAGGAACTAGTTCGCGTATACACACGCAGAAGTACAAACTGACGGACGTAGCTAAATCGTCAAGGTGATACTTTTCATATACATATGTGTTTTATATGGTCTCCAACGGCGTTATAAACTTCAATTGGGTATTATAATTAGATTTGAAGTCGCTATTTCAGTATGCGGTTTGGGTACTCGAATAAAATCCAACATTAGTTAATTTATATAATATAATAATTGGCATATTTTCCAAATAYCCCTCTTTATAGTTATTGCAATTTTTAATAAAACTTATATTACGAAATTAATATACGCATATAATACATTAGTACAACTATATACACAAAGAARTATCCGCTCAGTATCGCCTCTTTACACAGCGCAACTTATCAGTGTTCATAAATAATTTATGAAAAGCATTTAGCTGAAAAAGAGCTTTACCCAAAATTTCTGCAAAGCAAACGTTTAACAAAGTAACGAAAAATAAACACAAAAGAAGATGACCCAGAAAATGCTATGGCGAAAATAAAGCGGCGAAATTCCTGAAAAAAAGTCTTATCGAAATTATGTTAACGCAGTTCAAAGGTTCTCTTGTAACGATGTTGGAAAAAATTAATTTTGCTTGCACACAAAAAACAGGCCAGTGAATTGAAAGTATAGCGTTAAACTTGTATGCCTTTTTTCAATTCATCTATTTACACACTTTTTTCCTTGTCAGCCCATAATAATGATGCCATAATTGTGGTGGGAATAGCCGCAACGTAACTACTAGAACACACACATACACAARCATATACTATACTACACCCACTCATTACGTAGAAAAGAAGAAAATACAACAAAGCCTAAGCTGAGCTGATAAGCGTTCAAACAGCGGCAAACAAGCGATTGAAAAGAAAAGTAAGTTTACAACAAAAAAATATTCAGCGCATAAATAGAATAGAAGCTAGGAAAAAAGGCTCAGTTGCAGACGTGGAAAGCAAAGTGGGTGGCAGATAAGTAAGTCGAGTATAGTGCGAGATGAAGAAGGAAAGTTTAAGTTTCATTTTTTCTCTTTAAGTAAAACTAATCCCAAAGAAGTTGCGGCAGCAAMATATATGTATGTATGTATGTATGTGTGTGAGTGTGTGAAAAACTTCAGTTGCTTTTAAGCTGATCTCTACTGTCAACGCAAGCTATTTCAACGCACCTTAATGGTTCGTAGTTAAACGAACAGGCAGTGAATTACGTGAAATATACAATTCACTTATGCTCTCCGAAGAACTACATATTCTCCGTGCGACAAGTCTCACTAAACTCCTTAATATATGCTCATATAGATAYCTCTTTTAACTAATGCSCAWTCAGATCCTACGTTTTGACTACCAMTACAAGGAACATCTGTTTACATACTAAAAGAGTTTAAGGAGTCGGCAGAGCACGATGGCGCCCAAACGCCGAGCTTTCTTTTGTATACAACTTTATTTAAATTGTTCGCCTAAAACAGAGAAAGCAAAGGAGCCAGGTGGAGAAGGACCTGACTGCACTTTATACCTCGAATTGGCGCCAAATTGCAAAAAGAAGAAACGACTATCCTGCTGTTGTTAACTCGGCTATAACCGCGTAAGTGGTGTCTACGCCAGTAAATAATAAGARGACGAAACTGGATCTTAAGCAATGTTTAGCTCCTTGGCAATCGAAATAGTACTTATCTGTCAGTCGGACTCAACGATTTCTATTATTTTAACGATTTRTTTTATATTTGTCAGGAATATAAACGCTTTTCAGATTTTCACCCACCGAGCTTGCGTTTTATCCTTACCCGTGGTCAAACAGTACTAAGTCAAACAATCAGAAGACTGAGAGATTTTTTTGTACGAAATCTTGTCTTACAAATTGCGAAAGCCATTTATAGAAAAATTTCTATGTTA